GATTATTTGATTTAATTATGTAACATGTGTCCATTGAAATTTGTGTTTTTAGTCATGGTATGGTTGTTTTTAGAAACATGGATACGACTTGAATGGTCATGCCAACATGTTTTGATTTAAAAGGGCGGGACATTGACACAACAACAAAGTACACTTACTATATACCATAACACAGTGTATCAAAGTATACATAACTACATAATATATGACTACTACTACAGTATTATCCTAGAATTTAAAAAAAAATGGATTTATTGGTTAAACATTAATTTTTTTATCTTCTAATGATTACAAAGACCTATAAACACCCAAGTCATATAGACAAGGTAAAGCATGTGTGCATAATTATATACTCTGAAGGGTATGATCAGATGGAAAGACTTCTTAGTCTTAGTTTACTCGATTTATGTGAATGCATAAATAGTTTAGGATGTAACCATTGTTAAGAGAGTTTGTATCCCAAATTGAGCAATTAAGACCACCAAGATTGGTTTATATATTTGAAGGGTCACTCTATCCATTACCAATAGTTTTGAGTTGAAAGTTGTATCACGGTATCGGAGCGCCACTTACTCATTTGAGTTTTCTAGTATGCATAGTTATTTGTTTGTTTGTTCCTACAACGTGCAAGTCCAAGTCCCATGTGAGGGAAGACGTTAAGAGAGTTTGTATCCCACATCAAATAATTGAGACCGACAAGGTTGATTTATGTACTTGAGGAGTCACTCTATCCATTGGCAATTAGTTTTGTGTTGGCTGCTCTGACAAATAACAACCATAAGTCCAAACAACATTGTTCTCTATACTTTAAAAAAAGAGCAACGCTGTTGAAACATAATTTGGAGACATAATGCATTTTGACCAAGAGTGATAGTGAAATGCATTTACTGTTGTACTAGGTCTCATCATTTCTCATCATTAAATGTATTCTCTATTACTTCATTGGTCACAATGCATTATATCCCACTAGCATTAATGTAAAAAAAATTATACATAAATATGATGATTCAATCATACAATGCCGACTTCTGTAATTTTAACCTTTATGTTTACTATTTATATTCTCAATTATAATCAGACTTTCTAATAAATTGTATATCAAGCATTCATCTGATTTCTTTTAATAGTTGTACTTTTTATGCTAGAGGAAATTGATAGCCCAGCTTCCAAGAATCGTTTCAACATGCTGCTGAGTGTTCAAAAAGTGTCAATTAAATATCCAACTAGTGTTTGCCAAGTGTTTGTAATTTTGAGTATGATAATTTAGTTATGTAAAAATGACTACGATGTATCAGTCATGTGTCCTAGAGGGTTAAGAACAGCACAGATATGGCACCTTATAATCAGGCTTAGTTCCATTCTACGAAAGACAATATAGAAACCAGTACATATGCTTTTGAATCATGTGACACATTATTTGGACCTTAATTTGGTGGTTTGTTGGATTTTAACTATTGTACACACTACTCACAGTGAAAGAGAGGCTCACAAAACCGCGTTAAATAGACATTTGATGCATCTTGAACAAGAGTGTTCAAACTTCAAGCCATTCAACTTTGTTCAAAAAAAAAAACTCTGTCGATATACCAAACGCAACTGTCATTTTCAGCAGATAACTTTCCTTTTGCTAGAGAAATATATTATAGGTGTCAAATAATCAACTCATATGGAAACAGCCCAAAAAAAAAGGTGGTTCTTGTTTCAGAATTAGGTCAGTTAAAAATAAAAAAAGTTTCCAAATTAGGAGAAACAAGAAAAAACAATAAATGGAATGGAGATCTACTGCTTCTTTTAATCAGTATCTTAGTCTGCTAAAAATTTATCCTGTTAAACATTGATGCCTCATTGAATTTGTGTCATGCCCTTCTTAGTTCAAAAACAACAAAAAACAAAAAAAAGGAATACGGAGGAATTATCCATGTCATTTTTTAGATAGACGTGGAGCGAAAGTTTATTGATTCTTTAATGTGCTTAAGAAGACTTAATCAACCAGATTAGTTTTCAAGGATTTGTGTTTTACATCTTTCAGTGAATCCTAGACTTTGGATATATAGAAGAGTAACTTCTTGGACTTGATGATAGTGATTTGCTTGTAATTCTTGGAGATAGTACTAATATCGTTGGCAGCCTTGACTCTGAGGTAGCTGTGTGATTAAAGTGATGCGGGAGGCATTGATGGAGAATTTTTACGGCAGCCATGTTTTGCATTAAGTTGAGAATGACAGCAACAAAATACTGTCCTTCATGATTTGGTTGTTGATTCCACTAGAAATTGACTCTTAGGAAGTGATGGAATCATTGAGTGAGGTTATTGCTACTCAATTTTGGGGACCTGAGAGAAAGCTCATTTAAGTGACTTATCATATGATTAAAGCAAGATTTTGTATGATTAAGTAGTTAGAATTTATTTGTCTAAAGGTTGTCTAAGTGAGAAAGGCATGTGGTAGGTGGTCTATTTATTAGGTTCATTCATTGTACACCTAAATACACATCAATGCGGTTTCTATGTGTATTAGCTTCTGTACTCATCAGTTTCATTGACCTTCTTCAGCAAAAATATTAGCTAAGCTAAAAATTCATTTCGTTCAATTGATTTTGATGCTTTAGAAATTGTCCAAGACTGAAATTCTTTGCCTGGNGTACTAATCAGTTTCATTGACCTTCTTCAGCAACAATATTAGCTAAGCTAAAAATTCTATTCGTTCAATTGATTTTGATGCTTTAGAAATTGTCCAAAACTGAAATTCTTTGCCTGGACGTTCCTTCAGAACAAATCATTATTATTGTACTATTATTTGTGGCTTTTTAGTAACATGGTATGCATGTTTTTTTATTAGAATTCGGTTCACCAACTAACTATATTATGAGTGGAGAGCCCCCCAGGCCCACACACCCGCCAACCCCCAAGTTTTTGATGACTTGTAAAGTAGATGACCGCTATTGCAAAGCATTTTGCCTTGATACCTCCTACTTCGGTAGCTGCTTTATCAAAAGTTCCCAGATTTAGTTTTAAGGAGATCTCTCTCCCTCTCACCGGTACACCATGAAACATGCTTTTGCACACACGGCCGCATACAAACTAAAGCATTGAGAAAGTTTGTGTAACATTAGTGAATGCAGCAGTGATAAAGAAGACGATGCTTTTTGTTGTGCATTGTTGGGAATGGCCAAAAATAGCTTAAGCACACTTAGACGATCATTGAGCCTTAAATTCACAATGGCTCATGTCTAATCTGATCGTAAGAAGCAAGCTGTCATGCAAAACTCAGAATAAGAATTTATGCGGGTCTTACTTATATGCAGTTTATAAATTACTTGCTTTTTAAAAAAACAAGATAAACTCTCAGAAAATTAAACAGGTTGTCTATAACTACTCTGTAATTCTCTAATTACAAGTGATTTACATACCTTGAGATTATTTTGTTGCCCATTTTTTTCAGGGTGATGAAACTTGCGTCCATTTCAGTTTCAGGTTCTAGGTTTCAAGCGATTTAGAAGCATTTTGTTGGTCAGATTCAGAAGTGAGCCGTATGTTGCACCATGGGGTACTGAACTCCATGTGTTAGAGAAGTCACTCTAGTGTGATTTAATTTGTGCATGAAAATTGTGTTTTTGAAAAAAAGGTTTTACATTGAAAGTGTGTTTTCAAAGCATGTTTTTTTATTTGAAAACAACAGTAGTTTGATAAATAACTATGCTATTTGGGTCAATAAGTTTCAAAAGAACCGTAGTTAAATAACTAATTGAAATAGTATTATTGTGTTGAAGTGAAATATGAATCTTTTTTTGTTGATCAGATTACTATTTATAAAGATTTCTCGTACTGATAATGTTTTAAATTTACATGGATGATTCATAATGTGGTAGTTGGATATGACTATTAAGAAAGGAAGAAACATTCAAAACATTTTATAGCCATTGATCCATCAAATTATAGGAAAAATTTTAAAGATAGAAAAGGACATTGGTGGCGTCAGCAATAGGCATTTATTTAATTTTAAAAACGACTAGTGGGGGAAAACATGTTTATTATATTATGAATTAATAATATAATAAACATTTAAAAGTTTTTAGGGATGTAACAAGCATTTAAAAGTTTGATGTCTCCTTTTTATCATATCTTGTGAGGACAAAAAAAGGTTTTGAGGGATGCAACACATGCATTTAATTATGTGGTAATTTGATAGTGATATTATGCGTGATTAAATTACCCTTTTTTTTTATTTGAGCACCTGTCGTTAGTTTAGTTGAATAATGACAAAGGTGTGTCTTTTCATCTATCTTCATTTAAATGTTTGAACATGTTGATTAAATATCCCGGCTTTCAAATTTTATAGTATTGATGGAATTTGTTTGCTTCGGGTTTCTCTTTTGAGTGATATAGTCAGAGATTTAAGTGCATAAAATAGCATATGAAGGCAATGTAATCATGGCAACTTATATCGCATCTAAGTAGATATAACTCCTTGTTCAGATTTGAGTTCAAGAATTAGTCTCTAAGAATGTCCAACTGTTATTTATAAATCTCATTTGTCTTGTGCATCTAAGTACATCGTTGTATGTCTCTTTTGTATACTTATGTGTTGTACATCCTTAGAGATCAATGAGCCATTGATCTCCCTCTAGGCTTGTGCTGTCAGTGAGTGTAGTGTAGAGTTACTCTGACTCAGAATTTTGGCACAATTAATGAACATGGCTTAGAATTTTGGCGGTGTGATCTTACTCTTTGAATTCAACGCCATGCCATGCTTTCTAAGTTTTGTTTATTAAATTTTTATCTCAAATAATGTGGCATAATTATTTATCATCACATAAATGAGTTTTATTATTATTTAATGACAAATATTGTATCACATTATTTAAAATAAAAAATTTGGTGGCATGCATAACATTTTTGGTATGCATAAGCCCATAATATTTTGTCACTCCCACTCAAACACCAAAAGAAAATAAATAAACGAATAGAAAGAGAAGTGCAAGTAATGCAACAACTAGGATTTAGAAACATTTTTTTATATTGAAAATCATCATTCTACAGGCAAACCATCGGATACAATAAAAAAGAATCGAAAGGCTGGAAACACATGCAATATGAAAGACTTCATGGCGTGGCAGTGATGGATAGAAACCCATGCACTGCCATGCTTATTTGTTGGACACTGAACTGACAACTCCTAATACCTCAAGGACCAGATGGTGCAGGAATACTGCTACCACTCCCCGGGGTCGGGACCTCGAACCCGGGATTTGGAACAAAGGTGTCGTCACCACCGGGAACATAGCTGCCGCTGCTGGTCCCGCCAGTGGATGGAATGCTGCCAAAGCCAGGGATGGTAGCACCGGTTCCCCCATTGGTGCCGGTGACGGGATTGTATGTGAAGGGATTGAAAGGAGACCCTATCCTTGGGACCATGACGCGGCCAAAGCCCGGAATGAGCACACTGCCATCAAAAAATGACTCGGGTTGTTTCTTGTCTGTGTTCTTGGAGTCATTCATTGGAATGTCACGTCCTGCAAGTGCATGACCTGATAAGGAGAGCAGGACATTAAGGATGAATAGGAAAGCAAGGATTGATCCAGATTTGTAAGCCATTTTCTTCTGTGAGAGAGAGAGAGAGAGAGCTGGGTTGGCTTAGTGATGGAGAAAATGGGAAGAGAAGAGCTCTTCTTATAGATTGGTCGTGGAGAGTTGGATGACTTCTTGGCGGTGAGTTAAGAATTTGAGAGAGAGAGAGAGAGGGGGGGGGGGGGGGGGGGGAAAANGCTGCCAAAGCCAGGGATGGTGGCACCGGCTCCCCCATTGGTGCCGGTGACGGGATTGTATGTGAATGGATTGAAAGGTGACCCTTCCGTTGGGACCATGACCCGGCCGAAGCCCGGAATGAGCACACTGCCATCAAAAAATGACTCGGGTTGTTTCTTGTCTGTGTTCTTGGAGTCATTCATTGGGATGTCACGTCCTGCATGTGCATGACCTGATAAGGAGAGCAGGACATTAAGGATGAATAGGAAAGCAAGGATTGATCCAGATTTGTAAGCCATTTTCTTCTCTGAGGGAGAGAGAGAGAGAGAGGGGGGGGTAACACTAACGGGCATTTTGTCTTTATCAACAGCTTCAGCGGCCAATAAATGTAGTGTAATTTGTGGCAAACTAGCAATCGTGTGTTTCCGTGTATTAAACCCATATATATGGAGTTGGGCAAACCAAGGGGTGGTGGCTTTCATATATCCTAGCCTATGTTAACTACGCCAATTGATTCTTCTGTTTCTAATAAAATATCCTATCTACCAAATCACATCTCAACCTCTCAATTACTCCTCTATGTAATTAAATAAATATGATTATGAATTGGATTGACCCCATGGGTAATATAGTTATTGACAAAACAAATGTGCGTCAATAATTGTGATAAATTCATGAATACTACATGTATATATGTTATTTACCAAATACAAATATGAATAGGATTCATATATGAATCCCATGTACAAAAAAGTTTGGGTTGAGTTTAAAAGAGTTTGATAAAACCAATCCAATCCCTCCTCAAAACCATCCAAACATTACCAGAGTGTATAAAAAAACATTCAAACAAGAATGAGGATAAAGAAAGATGCCAGCATCTATAGAGAGGTAAAATTCATTAATTATCAACCTCCCATTTTAAAAAAAAATCAAGAGTTACTAACTGAGGTAACATTGTTGGGTAACTTGGGCACATCTACAAAATAAGCAATGCTATTAGGATATATAATTTAGAGAGATAATGACAGTGTCCATAAGAATATCAGTGGATTTTAGCATTAAATGTATTTTGTTATCAATATAATTGTCCTAATACGTTATATCTTTAAATTATGTCTCAATATCATAATACCACCACCACCACCCCCAATAATTGCCACCACTACTACCACCACCATTGTGATAACCCTGAAATTCCATCCAAACCCAAATTCTTTATGCATTGGAACATGGGCAAGTGTGTCTAATTGCACATATAGATTCTTTGGACAATATGATTCCTAGGAATTTCATTGGGTCCTTATGTCAAGTTTAAAGAGAAGTCGAAAGGCAAAAGGACCTCATGTGATGACATTCTGAATCATCACATTGGTTGTCTGTGCCTAAGGGACCAACATTGCTTTGACAATATGTCTTTATACAAGTGGAGGGACTGCGGGTTCAATTTGATAGGGAGGTTTCAAAGTATGATATGCATTTGAATTTTAGTATATAAAATATTAATAAAAAATATTAGGTATATGTATACTTATATTAAATATCATTTTAAATTTATTAAAATTATATTTTTATTACTCATTTTATATTATAAAATTCGAAAAATATTGTCTATTTCATGTGATTCGTTATTTTAACTACAAGAAAAAAGATAAAAATAATTCATTTGATTAGGTTTCAACTCAACATTTTTGTTTTTTCAGTTGTAATTTTTACATCAAAAAATGTAACTTGACCTCAAAAAATAAAAAATTTCCTAAATTTATTAATCGAACTATCAGAATAGGCGTTGTCTGCTAGAACCATATTTTTCGGTACAGTAAATGTTTCTTCACTGCTTGCCGTTCTGGTTGTTCTTTTGAAGCTGACTCTCTCTCTCTCTCTCATTAAAAATCCCCATCTTTTTGGTACATATTACAAATCACTATCTTCATTATCTTTGTAAATGGTTCGAGATGTCCTCCACATGGATTGAGATGTCCTCCAATTTTCTTCTTGGTGGATCATTCATCATGTATTTATGTCCCATTCATTGTATGTAAGTGATCATTCATTCGTTAATGGTGGATGATCCACCATGAAGAAAAACCGAAAGAAAAGTGTATGTGTTCAAATTCCGTGCATCGCACTGAACTGTCATTTTAAACATACACACAAAAAAACTCATAAAAAAAAAAACTTGTATTGATGTTTAGTAATACTATCAATACAACACGTGTTTTGCACGTGAATAATTTTTGTATACAAAATATTAATAAAAAGTATTAGATATATATGTACTTATATTAAATATCATCTCAAATTTATCAAAATTATATTTTTATCACTCATATTATACTATAAAATTAGAAAAATGTTGTCTGTTCCTAACAATTTGTTGTTCTAACTATAAGAAAAAAGATAAAAATAATTTATTTGATTAGGTTTCAACTTATAATTCATTGAATAAAATAACAATAACTGTCAATATTTTTAAGTCAAAAGGGATAAAATATAAGATTAATAATACTTTGGGTCTCTAAAATATGCGTTTTTTGTCAATTTCATACTTAATATATGAATTTATCAATTTTGTCCATAAAATATTCAATTTTTATTTAAATGATCTCTAACTAGACGATCCATTAAGTTTTTTGACAGAAATGATCATGTGTCATTCTGTCAGATAGTATCACGTGACCAACACGTGATTACTTCTGTCAAAACTTAACAAATTGTTTATGTATAGGTCACTTAAACCACTAACTTACTTTAGAAACAAAATTGATAAAATTGATACAATAAGAACCAAATTGATAAAACATGTATATTTCAGGGACTAAAAATGTTATTAATCCTAAAATATAATATACTATTCTGTAATATATATTTTAAAAGAATATTAAAATTCTAAAATTCAAGTTTCACTTAAAAATATACTATAATTTTTTTTATATAAAACTCATAATAAGACATGAAGAGTTTACTGTGATTGAAGAATTATGTTGATTTAACATAAATTATTTTTTAAAAAAACTACATAAAAAATTATTCTTTATCTTAAAAATGAAATTGTTGAAATTTTACTTAAAAAAAATATGCATATATAAGCATACTATTATCTTTATATTTGAAATGAGTAACGTTAGATTGATGAAAGTTTCGAAGATATTTTGAGCATTTTATTGAAAGTTATAGTGATGCATATAATTTTTAAGAGTAACGTAGTCAATCAAAAATTTTCATCGATACTGATATTTATATACAACAAATAGAGAATTAAAAGAAATGTTATAGGTAATTTACAGATTTAAACACATAGGCACATGACACTACAACAAAAAACATTTGTTGTGACGATTTTAAAATCGTCACAAAAAATTACTATTTGCGATGATTTTATACTTTTGTCGCATATTTGTAATTTGGCCAATTTTTTTACGACGTTTTTTGAAAAATGTCGCAAAAATTTTATTCCCTCCTAATTGTTTTTTGGTGGGAGAAATGGCGAGAATTGGCAATTTTTACGACAAAAATTGTTCGTCGCAAATAGTTTAATCTCGTCATAATAATAAATAATTTACAATTTAAAGTAAAATAAAGTCTAAATTTATATTTTTGCAATTTTTGGCAACATTTTTTTAAATACGTCGCGAAATGAAGGTTCCTCCAAATTTTTTTGGAAAAAGAATGGCGGGAAAAATATTCGCGACGTTTTTATATTCGTCAGGACAAATATACTAATCTGTGATGAATTTTGAATTTATCACGAAAAATGTGAGACATTTCATTTTTTTATTAAATTAAATAATAATTATATAAAATAAAAATTTTATTCGCGACGATTTAAAAACTCGTTGGACAAAATATACTATCTACAATGTTTTCAAATTCATCGCGAAAAATGTGAAACATTTCAATTTTTTTATCAAATTAAATAATAAAAAATTAAAATAAAGAATTTATTCCCGACGTTTTAAAATTCATCGCGAAAACTATTCTATCTGCGAAGTTTTTTTAATTCATTGCGAAAAACGTGAGACATTTCTTTTTTTTTTTTATCAAATTAAATAATAAAAAATTAAAATAAAGAATTTATTCCCGACGTGTTGAAAATCATCGGGAAAAATATATTATCTGCGACGTTTATTTAATTCATCGTAAAAAATGTGAGACATTTCAATTTTTTTAATCAAATTAAATAATAAAAAATTAAAATAAAGAATTTATTTGCGATGTTTTGGAATTCGTCGGTAAAAATATATTATTGGCGACGTTTTCTGAATTCATTGCGAAAAATGTGAGACATTTCAATTTTTTGTATCAAATCAAATAATAAAAAATTAAAATAAAATAAAATAAAAAATTTATTTGCGACGTTTTAAATTCGTCGCAAAAATAAATTTGCCTCCTAATAATTTTTTTGGTGAGGGTGACGATGAAGTTGGTAAAAAATTTTATTCTCGACGTTTTAATATTCATCGCAAATAATTATTACTATAAGTTTTTGCGCGACATTTCTTTAAGTTCGTCGCAAACCTCTTTTACTTTGGCGCCAGTAAATGGCGGGAAATGAAATTTATTTGCGACAACATTTTTTTTGTCGCAAATTAAATGATAAAAAATTAAAATAAAAGGAAATAAAAAAGTCAGCTTTTGTTATTCACTCCTTCGTTCGATTGAAAAAACCCTTTTCCCTCTTCTTATATTTCTTGTCGATTCTGTGCTCCTCCCCTTTCCCTCTGATTTCTTCATTTCTTTTCCTGACTCACCCCCGTAGACGTGAACACCAACCACTGAGCCCTGAAAATCCATAGCCATCGAAGAATCCTTAAAAAGTGACCCACGCATTGCAATTGAAATTCAAAGGCTAAGAATTCAACGTGATTGAAGAAGACAAGGTGAGAAAGCATAGCCCTATCTGAGATTCGTCTGAGCCCATTGCATATCACCTTCGGCGATAATGTGAAGACATAGTAAAGAAGAAAACACAAGATTCACCTGCTAAAGAAGAAGTGCAACCCGGAAGTTGATTCAGTCTTTCACTCCATAAAACCCGTGGAATCCAATGCTTTCTACCATGGAAGCCAATGTTACGTAACCAAGGTATAATTCATTCTTTAACTCTGCAGAAATCACTCCTACTTCCTCAATCCCCACTGGCCACCCCCCTGAGTTTGTTGTAGTGTGCCGTAATATACCCAATTCCCACTGATGCCAAAAAAATCTATGAAATATAGGTGCATACAAGGTGTTCATTGGAATGCCTAGAAGAAATATATTTTGCCTTTGAAGATCTTGGACATGGGCAGCCACTGATTTGATTATCTAGCATTTATCATCTTCCAATTCAAGGTATTATGCTTTAAGTTAAGTGTGTACACATAAGATACGCATAACTATTTTTGTTATTTTGAGTGAAATATATGATTATTTTTATTAGTAAATTTAAATTATAATTTTTTATTATTGGACCAAAGGTATAAAATAAAAAAGAAGGAGAATCAAAATTGGTTGAATCATATACTCGCTTACTTTAGTTTGCCCTAAAAGGGAAGTTAAAAAAATAAAAAGAAAAATTCATTGCAATGACGTTGTTCATCCTTGAATGCTGGCCCTAGATATCTCGGGGCTTTTCGTTATTATCGTTCCTAAAATCCACCCCCCCCCCCCCCCCCCCCC